CCTATGTGACCATGTTATTAAATTTTCAACAAAGGGTGTGTTAATTATATATGATCTTACTATACTTGGTTATTAACAGTAAAACACTGTTCCAATCACTGCTGTTGTCAATTGCAAGGACACTTGTTGTCTTGACAACAAATATTTACGCAAGTATTCTCCATGGCAACAGTGATCCTTGCAAAAGAACAATGTATACATGACATCTTTAATGAGTGGATGTTAATCAAAAGAGGGATGAGAAGAATATTACAATAATTATAATAATAATAATAATAATAATAATTTAATGACAATGATAATATGGATAATAATAATAATGATGGTTATTGTAACTTGAGGTCTAAAATACAATAAAGTTCTTTAGAAAAAAATATAAAAATATACGTCACAAAAAAGCTTTAAAAATTGATTTAAATTTTGAATATTACTTTAAGTGTAGGCTCAGACTATAAAATGGTCTACTTTGGACAAAAATTATATTACTGTACAGTAAGTCCAGTAGAAGGACAGTGAGGAACGGGGGAGGGGGGGGGGCAGGGTACAACCTTCCTGTACCTTATTATCCTTCATTATCATACCAAGGCTGTTAAACCAAGTCTTCATTAAGTTGTCATTTCACATTCTACACAGTAAATCTGTTGTTTAGTTTTCATGAAAACATTACTTGAAGGGAGCTTGAAAAAAAAAAAAAAGAAGATACCCATCTATCATTCAATAATAGTGCCTTAAAGCTTGAACCAATATAGTGTACACCAAATTCTGAAATTACAGAGGACAAATCTTGATAGGGTATGATTTATGGCACTGATGCGCTCACATTCATAGATAAAATATAAACAGCTTTTGTTTGGAAGTAAAATGTGGGTACTAGTATGATATCCATGTTATCCAAGATTTGTAACTACTGGGTGAATTTCATTATGATATTTTTGCAAAAAAAAAAGCGTCTTTAGAACACTGAAATTATTTCACATCAATTCAACACAACAAACCAATAGATACAACCCAGCTAGACCCAAGACCTTTCTTGTATATTTAACTTTTTAAAACCACATTTATAATATTTATTTTTCAAAAAATTTAATGTACAACTATCTGAAACAAAAATTTGAAAATACCCACACAAAGCTACATATCTTTCTCTGCCAACAACAGGTGAAATAGCTTGTAATTGTTCTAAAAATAATGCTTTTTCACCTGGGGAAACTGCCAGTCTGACAGGTTACTGACCACCAGAAATTACAGAGGACTTGCAAAATTTTTGATATCACAGGTCCTTTGGACTAGCAAGACTGATGTGTAAATACAATACATAATAATAAATTACATGTAAACTTAGACTAAAATGCATGAAAACTGAGTTCAAACAAGCACAGAATTGGGAGAACTGGTAGATTTCTTGTAAGACAGATTCTCTGGACCTAGTCTTCAAAGTTTTCCCCCTACACCTGTACATCCAATTAATCCACCTATACATCTTATATAATCCACCTCTACTATGTAACACACATATTCAGACAGGTGTTCATGTTGGTATTTACAATACATTACAGCATAATGTTGTCACACCCACCAATTAACCCATTTCGGGATATAGAAAAATTTATCAAAGCTAGATATTATTTGACAATTTAATTAACAAGTACACGAGGTTCATTTATCAATTTGAGTATGTGAAGGTCAACTTAGGGTGCATTCAGGGCAAGTTGATCCACGAATTAACCGGTCCGCAGATCAAATATGGCCGACTAACTTAAAAGCTTGCTGCTTAATCCCCAAATAGAAAAAAAAATGGAATCCCTGCAGGGATTACATGATAATATTTCAAGTGAGTCTGCCATATTTGATTCGTGGATCAGTTAGTCCATGGTTCAACTTTGGTTACGAATGTGGCCTGAAATTCCTACTGCACTGTGCCGAAAAATATATCAGACTAATGGTACAAGGAGCAGTCTTGGTCTCGGAACCTGATGGCGCTAAGCAGAGACGGTGCCCAGAAACTAAACAAACTGACAAAATTTCACAAGCCACAATTCAATTTTAAAGGTGTTAGCCCTGAGAAGTTAACGGAGCTAATGTCACCAATAATGCACACTGCTAACTAATATGCCTTCTAATGGAAGACAAAGTGTATCTTTTATAATTGGTATCCTAAAATATCAATCTCCAAACCTCCAGGCGAGACTGCTAAGACAAACAAAGTTGTATTTGTGTTTGTAGCTTTGCACATTGGGGTTGCCAGGTAGGTGTAAAAAGGTGTCTATTATGTCAATCAATAAAGGCAAACCAGAATGCCCTGTAAATCCAATACTGTTAGGGACACTATAAATGATACATCATTTACTGGAGGGTTGTGCTCTGCTGAACTGCAGAATTTAATTACTAGAAATCGACACTGCTGAATTTTTTATATATGCTGACTTTCAGAATATCAGACATTGAGGGCAACTTAATGTGGCCATTTATTAAAAAAAAATAAAGAAACTTTTTTCTGGTTACTCTCTATTGTTTTTTTTTCTTAGTTTTGTTACCTATTTGTTTTTTCTTGCTGTACAACAGTCTTTTATAAGAAATCCTGCATACATTTATTCATTTACTTCCTGTATTTATTCATTTGTTTATATTTCATATGACATGGAATCTTTTTTAAATGAGAATGGGCAAAGCTAAAATAATATAATTTTGAGTTTCACAGACAATACTTTAGGTTTTATAAAGCAACAAATAAAAAATAATTAGTACATAGTACATTGTAGCCAGACAAGAATCATACACTACTTTTGCTAGAGCAATGTCCCACCAGACATCATCATGACATTTAAACACCATTTCAGATCATGTTATTCTGACTAAAATGCAAATTCCTTTAACTGCTTTGCTAAATAATTGCAGCACGTTGATTTATAGCTGAAGTAATTAATAAGCAACCCACGTCAATGCAGGAAAGATCGTGCAAACAGCCGTATTAAACAGGGCTACAAACTCATTATAATTATTATTAACTTCTTTTCTTCCTATCAGTTGGTGTCATTAGCACTGTCCCCAGAATGAATACCAGTCAAATTGAAGCTGGACCAGTGAAAATGGTGTAAATCTGTAGAGTTTCTCAATAATGATTGAACACTGTTTTTTCAAAGGAACAGTGGATTTTTAGACCTTCATTGGTGGTTTGATGAGGCAGTATGCTTAATTTAAATATTTATTTTATTTTTTATTTATTTTTGCACTGACTGTTTCCCATCTTTAAGTCTTGATTAGCTTTCTTTTCTGGTGCAAGTTATCAGTTTGCCAATGACACATTTAACAACAGATCTACTAAATTTTAATATACATTTTCGTACTAGTATTGTACTGCTGGCAACCCTGTTTTAATGATAAAGTAGTTTTTTTTAATGAGATTCCTGGCTGTGACTGCAGAATAAATCACCTCCTTTCCATGCACAGTAAGTTAACATAAGGCATTCCAGCTCATATCAAATTATATTAACCCAATTTGGGCTAGATATGCTTACTCATAGACCTACAATTAAATTATTCACACTTCAGTCTGAGCAACAGTTTAAATACATTCTGCTGGTAAATTTATGAGTATTTTTAGTATTTCACAAAAAAAAAGATGAATGCAGTGTTTTTTAGATCCAAATTAATACAAGTGCCAACTCTTTCACAAAATGAAATGTAATATTTTCCTTTTTCTGCCCAACATCCTAAATTATAATCTACATGTTCTTGTTAACACTGTATCCAAAATGTTTTCTGGATACATGAGATGTCACAATTTGTTAGGTCTTTATTTAGTTCCCTTTCATCAATAAAATGCATGTTCCTCTGTATATAGGTCTATAATAATACACAGGATGTGCATTATACATAATAATTAGTGCACACACTGCACATGTACAAGTATAATAGTAATTAGGAAATGTTGGTGGAGGGGGGGGGGGGACACTCAGCTCCAGAGGTAACCTCAATCTCCAAGAGCAAAATGAGACAAAACCAAGCTTTTCTTTCAATTAATCCTTATACCTTACATACCATCAAACCATGGTTAAAATATTAACTTTTAATATTTGCCTCATTTTGCTCTGTCACTTTTTATTTCATCTCTGTGCTCCCTCCCGCCGCCCCCCCAATCAAAATCCTTATTTGTCAATAATTTACTTGTAGCATCAATAATTACAATATGGCAACAGAAATCAATCACAGCAGTTGATATGTCAATAATTTCATAACCCCTGACAACCTCGTACAGTAATATATATACTAGAATTGTTGAAAAATATTATATACTTGGCCTGATGCACAAATAAAACCACTGAAGTTTTTGTGGTTGATATGTCATGACATACCCAGGCTTTTACAAGCGTTGAAATATACCAGTATGTCTATCCGCTACCTCTCTCCCCCCCCCCCCCCCCCCCCCCCCCCCCCCCCCCCACAACAAAATTTATT